TTATTTTTTTATTTTTTTTATTTTTTTCAATGTAATTTTTTTTCATATAAGATCATTTGGATTATTGCTTAAACTCATAGCATCTTCAATTATTGGCACTAAAAACAAATGCATGGACACTTCTTTACATGTTACTATTTGATAAATACATTCATTTGACTTATTATATTTAAATTTAAAGTATAACTAATAATATATAAGCTAATGTATAATTTATAATAATTATTTTTTACATTGAGCTTGTAATTCCACTAGCATAGAATTTAGCTAATAGTGTTGTGATTAGAAGGTAGTTTCTATATAAATAAATTAAGAGCATTTGGTGAGTAATATAATCACATTTTTTATTATTTTTTATATATTTTTATAAATAAATATATTAAAATTTAGTAGATTATAGGCCTCTATGATGTGAACATATTGCACTTCTTGTTGTCATTGACATAACACTTGTATTTATGTAGATTAAAGGAGTTAAATAGAAGTAAATAGAAGTACATAAATTTGATAATGTCTTATGGAGAAGCATCTTAGAAGCTTCATAGATGCAGATTTGACTTTATATGTGTTTCTGCAAGTAATTGATATGTTGATAACTTCATCAATAAGTTGGCCACATGTTATACATATTGGTAAATTATAATATAAATTAGCCATTTTCTACACATGAAAGAAAATTATCTTGCAAGTTGGACATGTATTGAAGGTCCTATAGGACATTATCATGTAACTCCTAATTAGATAGTATATATGCAAGAAAGAGTGAAGTCTTTTTTTACTCTTGTTAATATCTTTTTTGTCCCTAGTCTTGTTTCAAGAGTCTTTGATCTTCTTATCTTTAGTAATATCCATTCTAGTCTTAATATTATACCATCTTTAAGTGATTATCTACTCTTTTTTAGTGATACAAGAGTGTATTGATTGTTTGGTTCTTTGTAATTAATATCTTTGATGTTTGTAACATAATTATATTTGGTTGAAAAATTCCTTCATTTTTTTGATTTTAAGTTTTTCATGTATTTTTTTGTTCAATTCTTGTTAATTATTTAACACCATGTATTAAAAAAATTAATACTTTTTTACAAAGTAATATGATATTAATTTTGTATTATAACTTCCAATGCTCTTTATTAACTTTGTACTTTAATTTTATGTTATAACTTTTAGCACTTATTTACTTTTAAATTTGTCAACTCCCTCTTTTCTTTGATCATGAAAAAACAAGAAATTTTTAGAGTTGATATTTTTAATGGAGATTAATTCTCTATCTACAAGTTTTATATAGAAATTATACTGCAAGTTAAGTAGATTTATGGTGTAATTAGTGAACTTGATTGCCAACCTATTATATTAGCAACTAGGAATACTCCAAAGATACAAGATCAAATTAATAGATGGGATCAATAAAATATTAATACATAATGTTAATCATGTTTGGATTGTCTTCTTATATTCTCTCCAAACTAACAAGTTACACCATAGTTAACTTTTAGTACTTATTTACTTTTAACTTTGTTTTATCTACCTTCAACAAATCGCCAAAAATATTTTTTAGTTATAAGGTAAGTTCTACAACTATAAAATATTACAAATCGGTGATATTAGCTTATTTATTCAAAATATTAAGGACATGGCTTTGTTATTAAAAGATTTATAACATGACATATCGGAAAGTATGTTGATTACAAAAATTATGTTGAGTCTTCCTCCAAGCTATAATTGCATACTTGTTGCTTGGGAAAATGTACCAAAAGAACAACTGTTTTCAATTTATAAAAACTACTACTTCGGCACAATAGCCTACTTTCCATTTAAGGTATACAAGATGATTTGGATGATCTTGCATTTTTTATTTGTAGATAAGCCTCAAAATCTTTATTATTATTCTAACTTTGACAACAACAAAGTAACTTATGATAAGTTATCATTTGTTTCAATCTTAAAAAATTCTATTATGTGTTCATGATTTCTACCTCCTTGTTACACATTTATTTGACATTATCTCATGATAAATTTTGATATAATGGCTTTGCCACTATTGAACATTCAACAAACTGCCATAAATGATTTAATAAATATTATCCAATTCTAGAAGGTAGTTAGCCAGTAACAATTGTTGACGCTTGTACACTTGGGCTTCCAATTGAGGTAACATCTATGTAACACAACAAAACCACAATATTTCTTTACTCAAACTGCTTGTTAATGTGATTTATGTTCCTTTGCTTGAACAAAAAAAATTCTATGTTGGAATTGTTTCTGAATTTGATACCTCATTTATAACTATATCTAGAGCTTTTAAGTTTTTGTCAAATATAAGAGATACGGTTTTAGAAGGCAAGAAAGTCAACTGCTTATATCAATTTATTATAACAATGGTTTTATTAAAGCCCTCCGTTATTCTAAAAAACATCCGTTGAGACACTACATATTCAACAGCTAATTATCCTGAATCAAAGATTTACTACTATTAGTATTATTTCGGCTCACATTTGATCTAATCATATCAATTTATGGCTCAAGAAAATTGCTCACATCAATATTCCAATTATTAAATAAAAAATAAAATAAAAAAAAAAAAACATCATTCTCTTTCAAATTTTGACTTAAGTAATGTAACATCAAAAAAAATTCTTTGTCATGGTTGTATGCTTCAAAAACAGACTAAATCCACTTTTTGGCACAATAACAATAAGGTCAAAACCTCCATTCTAGGTGATTTTTTACATGGTGACATCTCCAATAAATTTAATGTTCAGTATATTGGTGGCTCTTAGTATTTCATTCTTTTTGAAGATAATGCAACATCTTTTTGTTTTGTTCATTTTTCAAAATGCAAATCTAAAATTCTTGATTAGTTTCAATATGTTCTAAAGATTATAAAACAAGAACAATCTACTTCTATATATATATATATATATATAAGGATGGATAAATCAAGTAAATGTTTTAATTCAACTTTCAAAAAAAAATCTTAGTGATTTTACAATTCATCACAAATGTAGTGCTATTTATACTTTACAATCAAATAGTTATATCAAAAGAGAAATTACATTATATTATATTTCCAGTTTTAAGATCCATATTGTATGAAAAGGCATTACTTCTTTATCTCTAGGTCAAAGCTATTAATATAGTATACATTTTAAACTAAACTGTTAACTTCCAAATCAAAAATCCTTTAAAAAGTGGTTTGGTTCTAAACCCTTGATATCTCATTACAAAGTATTTGGCTCTCTTGCATATGTATACATCAATAAATAGAAACGTTTAAAGCTTGAAGCAAAAAGTACACCACTAATTTTTGTTGAATATTCTTTATCTAATAAAGATTATAGATTTTGGAATCCGGTTCACAATAAAGTTATTAAGAGCTCTGATGTAAGAATTGATGAGAATTTTAGTTGTTTCAATTCCAACACCTTCCCTATTTTTTTATCCTCTACCTCTTTTATCTATTAAATTGAATCCACCTCTTCCTATAGCGACATCACAAGACACAACTTCTATTTTGAAACTAGATCATGTTTTTAATGCCATATTGAATGCTCTTCCATCTGAATCCTCAAAAAAAATTTTAACTCCAAATAATTCTAAAACAGTGAGAGACAATGGACCAAAGGAAGCTCAGATTCCATTACAAAATTTTATTTCTACTTTATAAAATGATTAAACCCAAGATTTTTCAATCCTCTCTAGACAACAATGCTATCAATGAATGCCAAACATTTTAAATTTTGTGTCATGTGTTGGATCCTTTTCTACAATAAATACTTTTATTTATCTACATTTTAATTTTGTTGCTTATCTTGTTACAATTGGTGAGTAATTCCTTAAATCTCAGACTTACAACCATGCTCTTGCTTCTACTAACTCTGTTCAATGGACAAAAGCTATAAAGTCTAAGTATGATTTGTTAATTGAAAATCACACTTGGGACTTCCAACCTCTTCCATTTGAATAGGAACCAATTCATTGCAAGTGGATATACAAAATCAAATACAATTCTATCAATGATCTCCAAAAATATAAAATCCAGCTTGTTGTTATAGATTTCACTCAAAAATTAGATATCAATTATCATGAGATTTTTAGTCTAGCCATGAAACATCATTCTATTCTGTTGGTTTTCAAATCCAACGTCATCAACCTTGTCAATTGATTTTTCTTCATTAGCATTGATATGTGACTGAAGTCTTCAACTGTTTCAATATGCAAGACTGTAACCCATTATCAACCCCTGTAGAATCCAGTGTTTTTTTTCTGCTAATTTACAAGGAGATCCAATAACACTTGAATCATATACTCAAGGCATTGACTACTATATATATGCCATAATTTTAATTCATCTTGATATCACTTTTGCACTCAGCAAGGTGATCTAATATCAACAACTACCAAAATTCTTTTATTGGAATGCACCAGAAAGAATCCTCTGATATCTCAAAGAAACAATCACATTGTGACTTCGGTTTCAAAAAATAGGTGATCTTCACCATTGAAGTTATTTCAATTCAGATTTTACAGGTGACCTTCATGATCAAAAGAGTTGAACTGGGTATGTTTTTTCTGCTAATTAATGGAGCCATTTCATAGACTAGCCAACGCCAATCGTGTACAACAAACTCCACCACCACTGCAAAATTACTTGCATTGGTTGAGACCACCAAAGATGTCATCTGGTTAACCCAATTATTAAGTAGTATTGCAACAACCCAAAATCCACAAATTACTATTTTTTGTGACAAAAAAGGCGCCATTGCACTTGTTAAAATCCCAGTTTTTTCATAAACAAAGTAAACATATTAACACCAAATATTTCTTCATTTGTAAGTTGTAGGAGACACAAAAAATTGATTTTCACTACATTTTGACACAAGATCAAGTTTCTGATATTTTCACAAAAGCTTTCCCACGAGATTACCTTGTCCAATTCCGCACTTCACTCGGCATTACCACTTTCCACAACAAATGAGTGGGAGATGATTAATAACATTTGATTGTAGAAAGTAAAAATGAAAGAGTGAGAGTGTTGGATGAATACATTCATTTGACTTCCTATACATTAATGTAAATCATAACTACCAGTATATAAGCTAATGTACAGTTTAGAGAAATCCTTCTTTACATTGAGCTTGAAATCCCGCTAGCATAGAGTGTAGCTGATACTGGAAGGTGGTGACTGCTGTGACTGGTAGGCGGTTTCTGTATAAATCAATCAAGAGCATTTGCCGAGCAATAGTAGTCACATTCTGTATTACTGTTGGGTGTTTCCGTGAGGGAATGTGTTAAAATTCAATAGTTACTTAGTGTCAGGAGCGTCTATCCAATGAACATATTTCTTTGGTCATGATTCATGTGCCCTGTTTCACATGGGCACAAATCACAAGGGCATCTCTATAGCTACCCATTTGAGTGTAAAATTCAATTCAGCTGCTGAACTTTACGGTGTCCAATGCAGTTCGAAGCCTTGTGTTCATCGGTAAGGCAGAATCAGAACCAGCATCAGGACGTGAATGTCGCAGACTACCGCGGCTGGAGATGAGTGAAACCAAGCCGGTGAAGCTCCATCGTTTGCTTCGCCGGAGTTGTACAAAGAGGACCGTAGTGTGTGAAACGGTAACCTCTCACCCGGTGAAGCTAGCATCGTTGATAGAGTTGGCTCTTTGTTAGCTCTGCAGGAAGCAACCCAACTGCTCTAAGCGGACTGGACTACTCGTACGTGGAAGGTACAAGGCCGTGGCATTCAATCAAATGGTTCACATGCTCCAGAAAAGTTCGATCCTTAGGTCTGTCTTCCCTATAGACGTAGTTGACTGTCTCCTTTTTCGTGTAGGCTTCTAAGTGGGGTGCCCTCGACAATCCGAGCTGCAATGCCAAGTGGGCAAAGTAAGCTTCAGAGAGGACTTCACTCGACGGTGCGCAATCGACTTCCAGGGATCGAAGGCCAGTTAAAACAAGAGGCCGGCGCATACAGTGCCCTTTGCTCACGCGTTCTAAGTTGTCCAGCAATTCCACGGCAAGTTGATCAAGCTGGAAGGGTTAACAGGACAGTGTGAGGTTAATGCACAGAAGGCATGACTGATCGCAATGTGAAGACGGCAGCAGACCTACTGAAGCTTAATGGACAAAGGAATAAAGAACCGAGATCAGGGATCTTACAGCATACACCTCTCCCTTCACTTGGTGACCAGAATTTGGCATGTGCAGCAGGAACGGCACTTGAAACGGCCCGCAAACAAGAGGATGTCGATGCTTTGTTTTCGCAACACCGATGACGTGCGCGTGACCCTCTCCAATCACATTCTCCATCAGCCAGTGGTTGGAAAAGCCCTGCTTGAGGGTACCGTACATGAATGCCATGGAGAAAGACGGACTGGTGAGAAGCATTGACGCCATCGCAATACCAGTGCAACTCTCAGCCTCCACAGTGGTGCCAGACTTCATAAACGAGGGCACATGCCACGATGCCGGTGCCGGTGCCGGTTCCAGGCAGAACACCGCGCTCATCACCCCACAAGCCATTGATGCAATCCGAGAACTGAAACTCAAACACAGCAGATAGTCCACCTCGGCATTTCTATCAGATATACGAATTGCTACGAGAAGTAATCTGGATTAGAACCTGGCAATGCTAATGAAACGTAGAAAGCACTCGTGTCAGAAACCGGTGAAATACAAGTCCGGCTTCCAGAGAGTAGCCCATCGTCTCTCCGACGGTTTGTGCAATATCCTTTCTGCTGCACTTCAGGACGGAGGGGAGCAGCAGATCTGTGTCGCTTTTTCCGAGAAGTGAGCCCCGAGATGCCGATTGCAGAAATCAAGGCCAGAGAGTGCACTCGTGGGGCATGGGATCACTGATCGGCGCCGTTGAAGTCGATCGGCGACGGCCTGGCAGCACAGATCTTGAAAGGAGTCAGCAACAGCGGATGCTCGCATCTTCTTGACCGGGTTGGAGGTTGGAATCTGTGCACACCATGGTCGATTGCGTGCATGGCGGGCGGAACCCAATTGCCCATTTCGTCACAGAAGGGTCAGACTCACGCACTCGGGGTGATTTGCTAGCTTTCGCCGCATCGGCGCAGCGCGGCGTCGCGCGTCTAGAATCGAGCGGATGTGTGTCGGTAGCGAGAATCAGGTTTTTATCGATCCGGAAATCGGAATACAATTGTGAAAATATTCACGCATTTCTGCACATAAATAAATAAATAATATGTATTTATTTATTAGAATAAATTTTATCATTGTAACAAGACATTTAGATTTTTTACATCATTAGTATTTAACTTCAAAAAATGTGATTTTTAAACTTTTTAAATTTTAAATTAAAGTTTTTGTATATACTTGAAGAATTAGTTTTTTGTACTCATAGGTGGAATAGATCTGATGTTGTTGAATTTGAACACAAGGAGACAAGATTGCTACCAGTTGGGAATGCACTATATATATATATATATATATATATATATATCTTAATTACATTATTACATAATCAACAAAATGAGTGTTAGAAGAAATTTCCTATTCCACTACCCAATCTAGATCTCAATAAAGAAAGAAGAAGGAAAAGAGTGTAGATAGAAAGACTATGAGGTCAAGATTAGATCTTAAACATTAATGATCAAAACATAGTTAGTAATTTAATTATAACAAGTGCTAATTGGTACAAGTAAAAAAATTCTTTTGACTCACTATTTGGATACTTTTGGATTTTCTTTTTTGCAACAATAATTTCCAAGTCAAATTCCTTCTATTTCTACATGACTCTATCAATCACTTGTATAATTATTTTACTTAGCAATCTAAATAATAAAATTTTAAAAAATATATATTTTAAAATTAATCTACTTTCTATTAGCATTATCCTCAAAACATAAAAATAAAACATCAATTATGATTTTTTCAAAATGATATCTTCATCTTCATAACTTATAATTTAAGAAAATACACCCATTTCAATATATTAGCAGATTCAATAATTTCTTAACTACATCAAAAACTTAGAGAATATCTAAAAATGCTATCATAAAAAAATAAAAAATAAGAAAAAAACTATATCCTAAATTTTAAATTACCTTGTCAAATCAATTATTAATTATTATAGTGATAGAATTCATTTCTATTAGTGAAATTGACTTTTTTATCAAATAGTTATGATTATCTCCCTTATAATACTGAAACAATGTTAATCTATTGATGTAATCATGTATTTTTTTTTAAAAACTATAAAAAATAAACTTTACATTTCTATTTATGTTTTACAAAATTCTACTCTCTTATTTGGATTCTTCTCTACAAATACATCTACTTGGCTACTTCTAATGAAGGTTGCATTAATTATCTATGGTGTTCTTTGGTCACTTGCCTAAATCTTGTTCGTCCTACTATATGTTGATTTGAATCTATTATTTGATAAAATTGCCATGTTTATTAATACAATTTGTGATTGCCTTTCTTTGTGGATTAGATTTGAGGTCAATAATTAATACCAAATATGCTTTGTGGAAGAATTTAATTGTATACATGACCTCCAAAAGTTACATTTTAAAAATAATTGAACAATATAATTTATTAAATATAGCCATGTCACTAATGAACTTTTTTTCTATTTGGACATTAATCAACATTTATACTCAATATACCAATAGCTTAGTCTTATAGAAAATAATAGATATTTAAAAATAAAAAAATAAAAAACTATGTTTTTATTACATCTTGAATAATGCCACAAAATCATTATATGATTTGATAAAACTTGTTATAATAATAAATTTACTAAATATCAATAGCCAATTATATTATATTATATATAATTATTATTATTTTTTTTTGATACATAAATAGAAATATAGATACGATGTCTCTTTTGGTAAAAGAATTGCATTCTATGTATATGGTTGATAAAGTTTGAATACATATTTTAGCATAGTAAGACCTAGAACTATATCTATGTAATTATTTTTTATTTTGGCTATAATTAAAAAAAATTAGATGCTATCATCTAATTTAGGTATTTTTTTAGATTCAATCTTTTGAAATATATTAATAATAAAAAATTCTAAAAATTAAAAGGATGGTATTATTTATAAAGACTTATGATTTAATGTCACTCTTTAATTTGACCATGTAGACTTTTAGTTCTAATTGTGCCAATGATACTTTATACTAAAAGTTGTTAATAATGCTATTTTAATTTCAAAGTCATGATCCATCAAGGTAAAACAATTCTTTGAATTTCAAATTCGACTCTCTAATTGGTGCTACTTGACTTTCTATATGTCAAAAATATATTTATCTATGTCAAATGAGCCTTATTGGCATTCTAACTTTGGATTCAATTATTTGACGTGAGCAATATAGATTTAATTGAAAAGCCATAAGTATTCCAATTCTTTTACTTGTACTACTATAATAGTTAGTCTTTGCTCATATACCATTTTCCAAGTTTGTTGAAAATTCAAATTGTGCTAAACTACCAACATAACTTACTCTTTTTTATTTAATAATGATGATAAAACTACCAAAGGACATAAGTTATAGATGAATTTGGTGAGAAATTTCTATCTACACAATTTCCTTTTTGAAAGACATTTTATATTCACATATGTAAAGATGCATATCACTAAATGTGCCCAATTGAAACCCATTCACTTGTGGAAGGCTACTGCTAACACTATTATCTTTGTTTGATACAAAAGTCCCACTTGGCTCTGGTAGCAAGAACTGATGAACTAGAACAACCCAACTACAACTTGGGTGAATGTTGCACCAGGGGAGCTGTTAATTGGACTACAAAGGTCCATGGAGATACAGTCATAATCAAAACATGTGGTCAACCATCAACTTGAAGTGAGTCACAAGGTGGGTGCTGCAATGCATTGATTGAGCCGATCCTAGAGTCTACCGACCAGGAACATTCCACAGAAAACATCCACCTCCAGAAACATGAAACCCTTGACGCCTGAGTAGGTTTTTCCAGTGTTCGTTTGAGAAGCGGCTCTCAAATTTGGTCAGCTCCTTCAGAACATGCAGAAATATCCAAAGAAAACATTCTGGACTGATCCTGGTAACAAAGCTCTGATGGATGATCCCGCATGTTTCCAGAAGCATCGTATCAAACATCCTGTAGAAATCATGCTTTTTTGTTGCATTTTTGTGATGATTTTTGAAAGTACGGCGAGAGCCGGCGACACTTCAACAATGATGTATTGGAATCTGGATCATAGGGACTCACTTTCGGGAAAATGGTTTAATAAATGGCATGAATTCGATCAGCTCCTCCAAAAACTCACCAGAACTAGAACTCCACCGAACGGAACCAAGAAAAGTATGACTAAAACCACCAATAGCTACAGTGACAATCAGACGCTCAGAAACGATCGACATACTGGGCTTGGCCAAGATAGGCTAGTGGACATTACCAGGCTCTGGATTCCATTCTATCAAACGGTGCGTAGGGCTTCTGCTTCGTTGAATTCGAGCACAAGCTGCAACTGCACAGAAGCATTGGAAGGAGACTGACGCCGCACTCATCACTTACTTACAATAAGAAAGGACCTTCTAGAGCTCCACCTTGATCAGAGAGAGACCATTATCAAGGAAACCTTCTGATACAGAGAAATCGGTCTCCAAATCCTCGTCCTCACACTCAGAGGAACCATTAAGCAGTGTCAAAAACAGGCGAGGTACTAGAAGAGTACCCAGTCTCTCAGCCGTCCATCTCCATGGTCGTAGTAACAGGTAACGTCGGTCTTCGCTACGGTAAAATACCAAAACGTGTGACACCCATGCTTGCATGCCATAATTACAGGTCGCCGTGCAGATGATTCCCAAGACAACTGGCTTTAGTCTACTTCCGTATGTCTTTCTTCATAGGCTGTCGATTCTTTGTCTTTATGTACAACTTGCGCGTGCAGTTTAGCGCCCTCCATCAGCAAGAATTTAGCTTGATCCACTTTGGCGCACGACTACAATGCGCAACTTCATAAACCTTCCCTTGCTAGTCTCTTCGATAATCCACCTAAAGAAAACCAAGAAATAATATGCACCCTTGCAAAGTGTTAGCATAGACAAGACTTGCGTCAGTGCTGTGAGTGCGTAGGTAGAAAGCCTTGGTGTTGATGCAACGTACCGAATTTGATTCCGGTATGAGATGTTATACTGAGGGTAGAGCAGCATTTGCAGACTCCGCCCCAAATTATTTCTCCCCACTTCGGTGGATTTTTATGCTGTCTTAGGATTCTTGAGAAGTTAAAGCACTCAAGACCAAAGAGAGACACCTAATAATTATGAAAAACATGCGAAAAGTGAAAACATATCTCAAACAAAAAAATAGTAGGAAAAACAACAAAGGGATGATCGAGTCCATACATAAGGTGAAGGTATGTAGCAAAAACCAATGATGTTCAACAATTACCTGCTGGTGTAAATTCAAATTCTTTGGTGATGCACAATATTATCAATAGCACTTCACTATCTAACAAAAATCTGGTGTTCATGTACACGTGAGTAGAGGAGAAACAACCCTTACTACCTTTACTAACAGAACAAAAAAGATAAGCTGTAACCTGTTTCACGCTCATAATGAGGCATATTCTCACTATGAAACCATCTCAGTTATGCGCTCAAATATTCGTGACCTCTACTGCATATGTCCTACATGTCGTCATACTTTCCCCACATTAGGAATAAGACGACCTAATGAGCTTTCAAAATACCTTTCCGAGATGTGGAAGTACTTGGTATTTATTATCAAATATTTGTTATGCTTCTCTGACTTTCCTCATCACTCGAGACTTGTGAGTGTATGCTTCACTGAAAGTATCTCAAAGACGAGAAAACCTCCACCCGCATGACTGAAATTTCTGGTGCATATCCAAATAACACAAGATCAATCTCAATATAGGCTGTGGCGCTGAGTAGATCGTTTCTGCAGGCCAATCGGGGTCAACAATTTTTCAGTGAGATGCATCACCAGCTCTTCAAGGTACACCTCCTCTTCAATTTTCAGGTCCAAGTGCCGGACCTAGCAAAAATCCAAAAAGCAAAGCATTAATTATCCGCAACAAAAAGGCACTCAAAATTAGTGTAAAATGAGAAGTGACGTTATCGCCTCCCGCAACCCTACACCAAAAATGTCATCGAGCTAAAGCGTAACCTGTTATAAATTGTACTCGGTTGTAAATGAAAAAATCACGGGCCCTTAAATCAAAACCAATAAATAACAGCACCAAAGTAAGTACCTTCACAATTTGCCTTAGAGTCAAATCTGCCTCAGTAATAATTACCAACCTCTTGATGCCATGTTCATGTGCGTATTCATACTGCTCTGTTAGACTTGGTGCTGAGGAGCACATATACTCGGCCTGTAAATTATACAAATTACTGATGTCATCAAAACATTCCCGGAAGCTAAATCAAGCAGCTACGAAGATACAGCAGGAAACAATGGCTTAAGATAGGTATAAAACGGCGCACAAGAAACACACCTTAATGTTAGCTGCCCACAATTCAGCCACAACTTGCATTCGTTCTGCTAAAAGTCCACCTCCACCACGACTGCAGACCAGGACATCCGTGACCGTTTCAGGTTTCCTGCAACATGTTTCAATTTTCAGACAAACGCCATTTCGATTTCCGAAATCCAAGCAGCATACGTACTTTAAACAGGAAACACAGATAGACATGTAGTTCCGATGTCACTCTTCCTACCTGAGTTAAATTCTAGAGTATGGAGTTTACCTCTCTGCCATTGCGATAGAAATCAACTTTTGCACTGCGATACTCAGACCTACCATGCCTGGTGCACCATATGCCTGCAAGTAATCAAGTCAAGAATAGTCATTTTTGTTTTCCAATGCATGGCGTCTTAGCGCACCACCCAGTGATGATGATCCAATCTTTAGATGTACTGGAGAGCAGTCATCCGTTTGTCTATTGTCACATTGCCCTCTTCCAATTCAAATGACTTATCTCAACAACATTAAAGGTGATAGGATACTGCAGCTGTTAGAACTAATCCAGAGGAAGCTTAATTCAGAGGAAGCTTAATTCAGAGGAAGCTTAAATCTATTTGAATAAATCAATAGTCTGACATTACCAAGTTTGGTGTCCAGTATTTATGAAGGAGACGATCATAACAGCCACCCACTGCTAAGCAAAGAGGCTTCATTGCGTTCCGTGCTGAGAAGGACGCCTTCTGGACATGTATCTGTAGTACAACGACCAGATGGTTCATCGAGGTCAGCTTCCAAAACGTGAGTAACTTTCGAGCATGATGTACATGAAAGCAATACTATTACTGTTACTTTAGTATATGCTATTGAAAGAGATTACACTGCTGCAGAGACCTATTTCAAGTAACATCTGCCAGCCTCGAATGGTGTGAGAAGGTTTGTCTGAAAAAACGCAGAATATTTATCCATACTGGTTTGTCAGAGAAGGATGACCTGAAAATAGCTCGCATCAAAGTACTCCTCTGTGGGTGACATCAAAGCATCAATAGTCACGACCTTCTCAAGTCCCCAAACTCTTAAAAACCCAAGAAGCATAGATAGTTCATCAAAAGCAGCTGATGTTACAGAACCTGCACAGCAACAGCGAAAAGAGACAGCTTCCATATACCACGACATCTCTTCATTTCACTTCTCATACACAGTTATTCACTTTTATCCAATCTCTACTTCAATATGAAACCACAATTTCACACCACAAACTTAAACGAAGATCTTAAGATGACAAATTAAAACAGATCTCACCCACTTTCTACACATAAAATCGACCATATAGGGAAAGATGAAAGACTCGGATTGGTATTGGGGGTGTGATGATAAGTGAACTTTATAGGTTGTTGAAAATAGAACCACAACCCATAGGCTCTCTTACCATACATGTAAATTGTCTTTGCTACAAGGACGCGAATCATTGACCATGAGCAACTTGCATTTTAAGAACATGGAGTGGGCTTCTCTTATATAAGAAAATATGTCAGTAGGTATTGCGAAATCTATACAAGCAAAAATAATTAATTCGAGCCTGACAGTGCTCGAAAAAGTATTCTGGTTTGACGCACTAGATGCCAATCTTAACTGCTAATACCAACAAAAAGTGAAAACATGATTCTCCTAATAGACTGCTGATCAATGAGAAAACCGATCCAGGAGGCAATTATAATAGCTTTCAAACATAAACTTATGTTCTGGCCGATCTAAAAGAGACATGCACCTGTTAGGTTTTCAGAGGCTGAAACTATCTCAGAACGAATGCCAACTTGTCTTAAAATATTTGTCACAGACTCATTAAACAGTCGAATTAATCAAAACAGCGCATAGACAAGCTGACAAGTAATCAAAATCACATACTGGAAGGTAGAGCTCCTCGTAGCCGGGCAAGAGCATCATCAGCAGTGCCACTAAGAAAGCGGCGCTCCACTGTCTGCAACTTATCCACCACTATCTCGGCCACTTCCAGATCCTGCTCCAAAATAAGACGAACTCAAAATGACATATATCTAGCAAAACGAACTTTGACCTATTCTGAGTTCGAAAAGAAAAACTTCAATCTATCTTTGTATACTAGATGAGCAATCAAACTAAACAGAGAAAGTGTAATAAAAGAAAGAAGGCATTGATCTATGGACCTCTACAATATACTGATCCAAGTATGAATATCTATAATTCGCTCAACCTACCGTTCAAGGGGTGTCTATGATGCGAAAAAGCCCAGATGAACGTACCTGTAAAAGATGTCTGCGAACAAGAGGCCAGCGACCTTTGCGTTCAGTTGATCCAGGTGATGTAGCATCCATCGTAGAGAGAACCTGCATTGAAAGTAATCAACAAAAACTAGCGCCTGAGAAGTGGCGATCCACACGCGGAGGATACGAGGACAAAAAAATGTTGAAAGAACCATAAACCCTGACCTGTCGTAATGCTAATTGGTTGCTGCCAGCTGACAAGCATCCCCAACAAATCTAAATCAAAGACGAATAGATCTGTTGTACCAGTACGACACATTCTAGCTAGCGCTTCCATGGACAATTTGTTTGTGAACACTTCTAGACCTCAAACCTGAAGTTGAAATAATTTCCATGAAACTCCTTACAGACGAGTTACTCAACAGCTCGCAACCAAGTCGGATCATTAACCCCACAATTCATAAAAGGAAAGAACTATCCTGTGAGTAATAATCAAACAAGAGATTGATAAGTCCACAACTATCATTTTATAAACCTGGGCAATCTTCTTTCTTTCATTGGGCTTCACACCTGCCCAGGTCCAAATGGCATTCAACAATTGCCTGTGATTCACGCGCACTTCATGTAACTCCAAGGTTGAAAACTTGGATACAACTTCGGTTGCAACCTGTAGTATTGCAAAATTAGCTAAACAACAAGTATGATCTCAACTTCCAATCCGTACTAGATGGAGACATAAGAAACTATATCCATGAGCATCTTCACTAAGCACAGTTGATCTCACTAAGATAACCCGCAAATATAAGTATTGACAGCCAGTTCGAGCACTGCCTAGGAATCTGTGTAAAAAAGCATCGGATGCGGCGAAGAGCACCTTAATTGCTTCTGCTTCTGCTAAAGAGCGAACACCACCAACGATATCAAAGTCTCCCTGTATACACATTTTAAGGATCAATTTGAAAGTACATTCACAAACTCTGTCAGTAGAAATGATGCACGTTCTGAGCTCTATCATGAATTCCAGAGAACTCGACTGATATATTCAGTAGACGTCAACTATTGGCCCTGATACTGACCTGGAAAAAGCCTTGGGGAGCACTGTTCCCAAACCCACGCCGATAAACTTGGGCAATTTGGAATCGCTTCAGTGATGTTGGCTGAAATTAGTCAATTAAAACAACTAGGGTCAACATCTACAGTACTTCAGAATTGACTACAATATATATCCTATGTTATGTGAAATCTAGCCTATTTAGGAACAAATGAGTTTAACAAAAGTTTGACTTCTCGTTACAGAGAAGACTCCTCGTTGGTGTATTTCAGATGCATCGCAAATCCCTTATATACACTAACGAGGAGACTTCTTTGTAAACTAGAAAAACTAATTTACCGAGGGAAGAAATATAAATTCAACCTGAACCAATCGAGTTTCTTGTTTAAACAGTATGCAAACCTGATTTGCAGCAACCCAAGAAGCAAAAGACGAACGAGTCTCATAACGTAACTGGAGTACGTCGCCAGATGAATCCAACAATTTCACAGCAAGCCTGCCATCACATACAGCGAGTAAGATTCTAATCTAATACGTACGTAATACTTCAAGGGACGTCCATCACATCTTAAACTCCAACACACAAAATGCACACCAACCAGACATAAATGTTTAATGAAGGATGAACATTTGGCTTGTTCCAAGGACAACATACCGATTGATATGCTTAGGATCATCCAAAACTGAGATTTCTGGACTCTCCAAAGGCCGAGCTCCATGCAGTGTAAATACCTCTTTTACACACTCAACGACCCATTCCTGAACTCCGACCTTCTTGCCAGGAGGACAGTGAGGCTTTGACGTTCCTCGTTGTCGGTCAGCCAGTTCAGCTTTTTCTTTCAAACGGTCATCATCAAATATTGCCGCTACAACTTGATCGTATACAGTTGTGTCCTCAGCATTTTGAATTGTTCGTAAAATATCTGTTCATATCAAAATCCATAAGTCACGCTGAAGTCCATCCACCACTTAGCAACAAACAGCATCCATCAGCATAAACAATTGAAGTTCAAGTTCATAAACAGTAGTACATCAGGAATCGCCGTGTAAATCAATATGGTTAAAATAAACTGTACTTAAACTTTTTAATAGTGCATAAAAACAACCAGGCTTGTAACTTTGAAATGTAAAGGAAAAGAGACAAATGAAGCAATGAATTAACAACTGCACTGACCGTTCAATGCTTCATCTTGCATACGAGGAGGTATGAGTTCACTCCGTAAAAGCTGAACAGCTGATGGTCTTTCAGATGGCTGAGCAGCCGTCAGCCACTTCACTAGCTTAGCTTGGCACTCAAATTCTACAGACCATGTAGATGGCAATGTACCTTTACTTTTAAAGTCATTCAGTATAATATACCGCTCCATAGCAGTTGTGAACTGATACCAGAGCTCAAATAACACAACCCCTAGGCTGTACATATCCACCTGCCAATAAAATGAAGGATATAGTAAAAGGCAATTCTACACAAGACTAACCAATTGGTATATTTACATATTATACATACAATTCTACGTGTGAATAATCAAAAGTATTGGCAAATGTAATTAGCATCATAAACTCCCTTTTCATATATTTCAGCAAAAGAATATTCTGCACTCGTCACCAGAAATTAGACACAGTGAAAGTGCTTCTCATCTGTCAATGTATACACCAACATACAGCGTTGAAATAACAAAAATACAAGAATGTAAAAGCTGCAGATCAAAAACGTTACCTTTTCATCAATGTGAGGCCACCCTTGCACGATTTCAGGAGCTGTATAGAAGTATGTACCAACAGCTCCAGTGCCTTCAAGTGAGCCACTAGTCTTCGCTATGGAAGCCAATAGATTCGTGTCTACGTCTGGCTGCTCCAAATTTGCAAACTTGGCTGCATACACATCCGAATCGTGGTTATGGATCATAGGAGTCTCTCTATTCAGCTATTCAAGTGTTGTTCAATATTAGCCAATATCATAAAAACCACATAAACGTAATTCAAAATATTACATGGTCGTAATTGAAAACAACGTACCAAGACCAAAGTCACCAATTTTGATATCGTTACGCGCATCAAAAAAAATGTTGTTAGGAGTCAAATCCCGATGTATGATGCCTCGGCTATGAATATGAGCCAATCCTTCCACAATCTGGCGAAACATCCGCCACGTTGCCTCTTTGTCTACCGGCCCTTCGTACGAACTAAAAACCTCTCGCAAAGTTCTGCGTATACAAGCACGTGGACAAAGTTAAGGAATTAAAACACTGAAAACTCCAAAAGTGAGTTTCAACTCACATTTCGTACTTAAAGAATGTAGGTATGCTGAAGCTGATTTTCCAAAATTAAACATAGAAACTTTGGACCTAGAGGTTCTAGAAACTCCTGACAATTATAGTCCTAGGACGATACTTGTCAAAGCATGAAAGAGGATGATTACCTTGGACAGTACTCCATTTGAATGTACAAATATGTAGTATGAGCAGGCCCTGACCCACCATTCCAAAGCTTTGAAGTGCCTGCGTCTGCACTTCCTGACTTACCGCTTGCAAGCCAATCACTGCCACTGTCGGTGGTTTCAGACCCACTTCTCAACTTCTCCAAGACGGATCCTAAGCCAGTCTCTATCCAGGCCTGCAAAACAAACAATAATGATCACTTGAACCTAGTTTTAATATCGGAAAAAATAAATAAATAACCAAAACAGCCATAGGTTATGGCAATGGGATCATTGTCTAATAGTAAACATCACGGCTTCAATCGCATGAATTCTGCGTACCTGGTAGTATCGGACCACATGTTGATGTTGTAAGCGAGCTAGTGTTGCAACTTCCCTGTGCATAGCTCAATTTCAGAAAAATACACACACCCATGTCGCCATATTTTGACCTTTTATGAGTTGTGCAACCCTTCAAGAAAAACGTGAATACAAAAGCATATTGGAGGAGATAGTAAAGTCATGGTCACAGATACATCTGTAGTTCTTCTATAAACTTCTTCGACAATCTTTCACCAGGAACTTATCCTACGTAACGAGAGCTTTACCCTAAAGTGGATCTGTGAACTAACAAGATCCTCCAACACTTTGAACAAGATATTCAAGAGATTCACGAACCTTAAAATTTTGTTGTTTTGTGACAAGGTTTTTGCCTTTAGGCGAATTTTCTTCATAGCATACCGTCTACCATCTAGTTTGTTTACACATAATACCACATGTCCAAAACCTCCTTCTCCTGAAACAACGAACCACCATAGCACAATTGAGAATGTGAACATCTTAGCAACTTCGTATTTGAAGATACATTTGCATTATTGTAATATGACAATTAAAATATCAGATGGAGAAGCCAAAACAGTCTACCATACCCAGCAAAGAGATCTCCTCAAAATCAGATAAATAGCGAGAGCTTGATGTATTTCCCGCTCCTAAAAGATCTGGGCTGACGTCCCAAAATTGGCTCACAGCTACTTGGCTCTACGAACAGTGACCATAATTAGCAATGAAGCATTACTTACGTTACATAAGATTTCATGAAAACTACAAAACTTATGCAGTGATGCAATTTATGTAAAAGTCACATCACAAGTCTTCAATGTCAACATAACCGTAATGGGTCCACGATTTTTTTAAATTCATCTATTTTGAAGGTAACAGGCTCTTGGTTCTTACAGAGCTGTCCAACGAGTAATTCATATCAGTAACTTGTTGTGGAAATGATCTTTTGAAGGTTGCATCAAAGATGTCAGATTGATCAGCCACCAAATCCTTCACCCACTCAGGCAAAATCTGAATCATAGAAGACACTTAGAGTGAATAGAGAAAACCCAATTTCAACCAATTCCACACTGATATGATCATGAAAATCGTACACCTAGATAACTAAAAAAAAGAAAGGGAGTCGGGCACATGGATAACGAAAAGGAGCACTTCAATTTAAAGGGCTACATCAAGTTCCAATAGTTGCAATTTTCAATCGGACACACCTTCATGTCACTAGCTCAGGCACAATGAATTACAAGGGTAAACAACCTCGACAAAAACCATCCAGCAGCATTTTTAACATTCAAGGGTTATTTATGCAACTACTACATCTTCAACTCCGAATGAAAGAGGTACACGAACTCTACAAATATAATAATAACCCTCCAAAAAAGCAGATCTTGCCCAATAGATCCCATCATATAGGAGCTTACACCGAGGTTTTGTAATTGCGTGGCCAAAATTGGAAGTGTATTCGGCAAGGGACCTCTTGCTCCACAAGCCAAACGAAGCAGATGTGCCTGTCAAGGATCAAGTCACGTTTTCTTCTTAAACGATGTAAAGATAGAACTTGGCAGAATAACACAGAAGAGGGAAAAAAAAAAAAAAAAAAAAAAAAAAAAAAAAATGTCTTGTGAGCTGTTCTAAACTACATAAAGGGATTAGAGCGAAATCATCACTTGACCGGTCAAGTGTAAGTCTCTCATACAAGACTGGACAGACAACGGTATCGCTCTAATGTCTTGTAATGCCATTACAGAGATACCAACCATGATAAACGGATGAGAAGATAACCGATGTATGCTTTCAGCAAATTTATTCATAATATGACTATCACATCACATGTAAAATAAGATACTGTAAAGCGAAAAATAAATATGCAGGCAGCGGCGGTTGCGAGATTAAACGATCACATACCAAAACAAGATCTTTTTGAATCAACCTCGTCGCAGCATCTTGATCAATAGTAGATGTCGGGAGTTCATCTTCAGAAGTTGTTTCCGAATACTCATCATCTTCGTCGTCTTCATCTTCAGAAGTATCCTGAATAGTTCTAGAACTTTGGGCCAGAAATGCTGATTGCTGCATACTCGAAAACAACTCTTAGTTAGTATTGCCAAATTCATGGCGGGATAGATTACAGCCAACATGAGTATTTCGAAGAAATTTTGAACAAACAATCTTGAGTGGATCATTGTTATGGTTGACAAAACTATATCCAACCTCAAATTCTTTTAAAAACACTGTGAGCCAATAGCAATCTGACCACATTGAAGAATACTTCTTCCACCAACACCAAAGCGAATAACAATATCCGACCAAAGGCCTCCACAATGCATCCTAGAAGATGAGTTAAATCAACAGCTTTAACATGAGCATCCAACTTCATATATTTGTCGTCAAAAAGCTACTTAAGAGGCTAACAATGAATCCATAATTTTTCACTACTAAACATCCGTGTCTTCGTTTGCGCAGGCCCACCTTCATAGACGATCCCATTTGGTAGAAACCTCTCCGAACTTTCTGCAGAATGTCTGACACAGTCTTGGAGTGATTGTCTTTAGGAAGTTGTAAAGCCAACTCATTGTCCTGCTGTTTAAAAGCAACTTCACTATGTAAAGGTCCTTTAAGTGTTCTGGCTTTGATCAACCCAATATCATCCCTGTCTTCACCATCTACACGACGAGCCTTGGCATCTTTATTTTTTCTTCCCAGTTTTCTTTCCACCCTTTCAGCTGCTTTTGTCTGAGTACTGATCTTAGTGGGTGTAGAATCAAGACCTTCGTCCCAATGATTGTCATTCTCAACCCAGTTGCTGCCAAAAAGGTCAAAGAACACAAAGTCCTCTGAGAGTCTTCCATTATCTTCTGCTTCTATCGATGTTGTAAGAGCATCCTGAAAAACACTTCATGAGCTTCATATTTTGTGTCCAAAACAACCCACGAGGCACTATTCATACCCCTATAAATAAAAACCTACAAGGATATTTAGAACAAACATACGCATGTTAATTGATTAAATAAGCCCCAAAAATGAGATTACCACTTAAGCTTCAATCATTAACGTATACATCTATATAAGGAACGGAGTCTTGCCTTAGAGACTATTTCAACCGTCGACTGGGTCGAATTCTCCTCCGATGAGATCTCTTGACTATTATGAAGGGATGACTTGATCGATCGATTTTCAGATAAATATTCTTGGCCAGCCTCCGTCAAATTGAAGATCATTACACGACCTTCTCTCGCTAATGATGCGGCCTGTCGTCAACATAATCAGGTCGGAACAGCTATCATACATTCAGCAACTAAAAAATGTTACAAATGAAGCACACAAATCCAGGATAACATAATACTAACTTTGATTCCTTAAACGGTGAAGTGAAGTGAAATTTACTGATATGAGACATAACCATGACTAGCCTTACATGATCGATAAAATAGGTTGACTTACACTACAAGACGTACCTGCTCTACAAGCAAAGAATGAAGACGGTGCGATTGCTCACTTGAAAGTCCTTTCCTTGCAATCACGTTCAGCTTGGGTGGCTTATTCGGATATCCGGGCAAACACCTGCGTATGAAAGAGATCAAAATAAATGTCAACATCCCCCCTGGGAAAGTAATTCTCACCCTCCGCAGATTTTTCTATAGTAACTTCAATATTATGTAGCAGCGAGGCTTAGAAACCAGTTTACAGACATAAATTGAGTTACATCACTTTATCAACCCTTGAAAATGCACAAGTTCCTTCTTAAAACTGGTAATAGCAACTTTCAAATCACCAGTGGTAAACAATAACAATGGAATCTTGGCACAAATTGGGACAATAACTCAAATAAAGAGAGGTTGCACATCACTACCTGACAACCAGCTCTGCAGACACATCCTCGTCATCATCCTGATCGACTGAATGTGGTCTACAAAGAGGCATCGAATCAGAACAATCATTCAGGTCAGGAATTCAATTGTTAAAACAACCCAAGTTTGCGAATCAAGTAATTCAACGTGTAGCAGCCTAGCAATCTTCAAGGTTGCATTCAATTTCTTATCAGCAGCTAATTTGAATCGAAGCTTCTATTTCCTTGCTCAAGCGCTCACAGATTCCTTCTAAGCTAGATTTTCACATTTTGCACAAGATATTGATTCAATATCAAACTAATCGAGGTGCCACAAATGATTGCCCTACCGGAGTTGTATGGAAAACTCTGCAACAGGCTTCTCAGACAGAAGTTTGAAATCTTCCTGAAAGATTGCAGACCTGCAAAATCCAATATTAATCCAGTCATTCAGTTACCATAACTTCATTTTGTGTACATACGAAAAAAACTTGCTTCAGTCAAAGACTTAGAAGAACAAAAAAATAAAAACACAGGAAGCTGAAATGCTACTTACAAAGCTGTTATTTCCTCAAAAACCTGGTCAGAGGAGTCAGATAAGTCGGAAGCACGTTCTTTAAGCGACAGCGACTGCCGAGCTTTGTGCTTCGCAGGGCGTTTATTACGTCGACTACCTTTATTGGACGGCATAATGTAAACCAACAGCTAACATCAAAGCTGAATCATTAAGGCTGTGTGCGGCTACGATATTCCATAGACACGAATATCTGCACACTCAAGCATGTCAACAATTACCTTAAAATCAATCAACTCATAGGTTCACTTGACCTCACTAGTTCTTGTTCTGAGATCCTCTCCCTGTCTCCAAAGGTCAACAAAACATTCAACAGAGTAATGAAATTTTATTTCCTGCATTCGTTGAACGCACTAGATTCTGCGCATGAAGAGAAAATTCAATCAAATGCAGCTTCAGATAATGTCCACGTATTCCTGATCACGCAATTCACTGCGAAACAATTCGATTCATCCAGCTTCGAAAGGTAAATAGAAAACAGCAATAGTGAAGATGAGATACTACGAGTTTGTACACACACTGCCTCCACACGTCCAAATATATTTGAGAATCTTTTAATGATGTCCTGAATTGTCTTCATGGAAATTCTAAAACACCAGCTGTGCAAAGCATCAGTGATTTGAAACTAAGAGATTATAAGATCAAAATTCAAAATGATAAACGCACAGGATCAATGCAATAATTCCGAAAAAGCTTACCAGTAACCTACGAATACAGGAACTAAAAATCAGTAATCAAACGCACTCTCTGCTACTGCCGGTAGACAAATTCTAGCCAATTCAATTCTACCAAACTTCCACAAAACTCCGTGTACTATAGAACAGATGCAAAATAAATCATCTCATCGTGTCGTCGTCTTCGCCACATTGAGGAAGTCTGCTTTCCAAATAATGTCAAGAAAATTACATCCACGACACTTTTACACGCGCGAAAATTCTCCATACTGATCACCGGGAAAAGTAGGAACGCCTACTCATGCCGCATTTATTTCAAATTGAAATCATCAACGAGAACTAGGGTTTAAGGGCTCACTGCTTCCTGCAAACCGACGAACTGAAGATCTACTCCAAAAAACCACACGAAGGGATCGATTCGGACCGCAAGTGCAACGTAGATCCGGGAATCCAACCTACAACAAGCAGGTATTCTCGGAAATCTGCCTCGCCTTCAAGTGGCGAGTCTCCCACACGACGCATGCCTCGCCTTCACAGCAGGAGTGTGAAGACGAACCCTGATAGGCGTTTCTTCCAAGTATCTTACATGGAACTGTACAAGTTGAGCTGGCGGAACCAGAATGACACGCTGGACAGAAAGAATCCGACGTGGCACTTCGACTGGCTTGCTTTTCATCTTGGATAAATTTTGGGATGAAATGTTTCGTCGTTAGACTTTCCTAGTCCTGAGTGTGTACGAAAATGGGACAGACTTCTGGTGCTTGTGTTGTCATAATTTTTATATAAACTTTTGACAATCTTCTATTCAAACCAACAAGTGCACATGCTTTACGTACCTTCAGCAACATATGTTTTGACTCTTTACCAAGCTAAATATAAATAAGTTAAACAAACTTGGCATAGAAACAATTTTAATGGATGAAAAATGTAGATTTATAATCTCCATTTACATATAGATGACTGCAAATGTAGGAAGAAGAACAAGGAACATGATTCTACATGTTAGGCTGTTGTAATCTTTGAGGGTAATTCATTAAACAAATCATGCACGTGTTGCCTTTATTGCTTCTTTTTTTACTTTACAATACTTATTGGCATAAATTGAAACAATGTATGTAATTACTCAGAACCTCTTTGGAAAACTGCTAGAATGTTATGATCTATACAAAAGATGTTAAAATTTTATGCAATTGTGTAAAATGTAATCTATATTCCAAGTATTTTATAATTTTAAGTTATAATTTGATTGACTAAATGTACATGTGTAGGTGTATTTCTAAAATATGATTAAGAATCTGTTCATACTGTAATGTAAGTTGTGCCTTGTTGTAAAGCAATAAATAACTTGCATGCTAAACTTTAGCATAGTTGTTAGCTATTAATAATTAAAGGAAGGAAAATAAAATAAATCTGATATAGTTTATTTTTTATTTGAATACAAAATTTTTGTGAAAATGAGTATGTAATTTTATGGACGTAAAATTGTGTATTATGTATTTTAAATAATTGAAATACTGAAAATAAATTAAAAGATTGGCACAATTAAATATATAGTTGAAAGGATATCTAATAAATTTGCAAAATAAAATAAAATACACTTTGAGGATCTTCAACAAAATCAAAGAGGCAAACCTTTAATAATGGTGCATAAAACATATATATTTTTTTTAAAATGATTTGATTAATTGATATAATCAAAATCAATCATATCTATTTTATACACCAACAATCAAATTTACAAAAACCTTACAACAAGTACCAATTATACTTAAATTAATTGTAATAATCAAGGATAAATTATAATATATATTCTTATATACTAGGAAGAACTTGTGTCATGCCATTGGGCATAGAAAAGTTGTTTGTAACTAGTAAATTAGAGGTCTTTTTTAAGGTTATACATGGCTTTTTCTTGATCGATGATTTGTTTGATTTTAGCTAATGAAAAGACTTCTTTATTTCTTTATCTTACACCTAGATTTCCTTATTTATTATATAGATATGAGTGTGGGCGTTTTAATTACTATTTAACCATCTAACTACCTTATAAAATTTTAAAACAAAAACAAACAAACCAAATCTAGAAATACAAATTCTTACTTTATTCATACTTTAATCAACAATTATTCTTAGATGAGGCATTACAAAAATTCGTCCAAAACACCATTACATACATATATTAGGTTTTTATGTTATTTAAAGCTATGTTAAGTTTCAACCAAAGACATATTAACCAGGCCCTTGCATTGAGTGGCCATAATTCACTATAGACTTCATGTTGTTGTTATAAGCTTTTTTCTTGATTTGTACATAATATAGAGACTTCTTATTAACATTCTTCAAAACATCAGCCTTGCAAGTTGTAGTGATACTTAAGTTAATATAGCCTCTCATATTTTTATTTTTTTTTATTTCCTACATTTTTATTTCATTTCATAATCAACACTTAACTTTTGAGTATGCAATTTAATAGCAATTTTACAATAATTTTACTATTGACACAATGAATGAGCCATAAGTTTCTTTCAAGACATTCTTATGCAATCTTCATGTATTGAAGGTGATATGTGAACAAATCTGAAATGCAAGGACATGATTGCAACAATCCATGTGTTGCATGCTATAATATTGGCATTACAATAAAGAACTTGCATCTATGTTTGATACTAATATTGAAAATCAATTTGTAGCTAATAAGACATTACATTATACATTCAATTTTTTATTTTTCTTATTTAAGAAGTATAATCATTAGCCAAATATGCCATAAATTTTTTAGGTGAGCATTTTGAAATTAAGCACATAATAGATGTAGTAGTGAAGTTCCACTTAATTGCCAAATGTATTGATTGCAAAATTTATGAAAGTTGTTTTATATCTAGTGTATTCATATCTATCATATAGAATATATGTCATTTATAAGTGGAAGAGAGTTTTTAATAAATAGTAGTAAGAAAAGCCAATATGCCAAAAATACAACATTGAGTATAAAGCACCTATAAATTATGCATTATGCATTCAATTCACTAAGTCTTTATGGATTCTCAATCCTAATAAGATTTGGTAATAATTCCAAAACTTGGCATTTCAGATGCTTTGTTTCATAGATTATGAGGTAATCAAAAGCAAATCTTATCCATCACTATACCATTGATTTATTTAATATAAATGACATCAAGTACTAGAGGTTTATATTATTCAACCATTGATGTTATTTGTATATAGTTGCAATAAGACATCAGGCCATTAATAGCAAAAGACATTGTCTTTCATTAATGTTAGACTAGTAGAAAGCACACATGAGATGTTGCAAAATATGATAGATAAGATTTTACATATTCTTTATTTTAAAAATTATATATGTATATATATATATATATTAGACTCAATTGATATTTTCATACTACAAACTAAAGATACTTTATAGAATGGTATCAATGGCACTGCTATTAAATTGAAATCAAACAAAAAATATTGAAGAAAGTTTATCAATGTTTATCAAGCTTCATGTGTATTGTTGCAATTATCTTACTAAAAATGGTACCAACCATGGTTGAAATAGTAGAGCAAATGAGCTCTTATGAAGGATAAAAAACTTGACTTCAAAGAAAGAAAAGGTAGTGCCTCCATTAATAACTTGATTAACTAGTAAAATCCAATAGACATGGATCAAGCCATCCGTATTGTTGTTATATACTATAAGATGTTAAAAACATGAATCTTAAAGAACCAAAAGATCGATATATTTTTATCACTCAAAAAGACTAATTAATCACTTCAAGATGATATAATATTAAATTAGAATGGTTTTTGCCAAAAATTAAAAAATTAAAATCTCTTAAAAATAATAATAGCAATAACAAGAGTAAAGAGTACTTCACTTTTGCCTTTATATATATTATCTAAGTAGGAGCTACGTGGCACCATTCTTTAAGACCTCCATCATGTCTCTAACTTGTATGATATGTATTTAACTTACAAGTGTAGTTTTTTATATGTATGCTACATAGTTAGCTTCTTCCACAAGTATCACGGCCATAATCATGTAAGCTAATAATTACATATAGAAATAGGTAGAAGTAAGTAAAAGTAGATAAAAGTAAGTTAATTCTATAATATTTAATATAGAAGCTTCTTAAAAACTTTCTAGACGCTGCTTTGACTTCATAGGTATCTTTAATTGACTTTTTGGATTAGAAACGTGGTCAACAAGTTGGCCATGTGCCACACATGTTGTTAGCTTGAAGATCAAGCTAACTATGTGGCCCACACATAGAAAAACTTGCCTTGTAAGTCAAGGCATGTGTCCTACAAAGTCAACACATATTGGAGGTCCTATAGAACATCGCCACGTAGCCCCTAGTTAGATAGTATATATTGAGACAAGAGTGAAGGCTTCTTCACTCTTGCCAACTCCTTTCTTGCTTCTAGTCTAGTTTCAAGGGTCTCTAGTTTTCTTGTCTTTTGGCAATAGCCATTCTAGTTTCTCTTTTCAATATGCATACTTATTATTCATATTTTGTTACTTTTCTTTGAGTGAAGGCTTACTTGTCTGAACTGTTTTTTCATCGAGTTCTTGTCCTTGACAGATTGACAAGAGTACACTTACAATATCAGAGCTTTATTTTTTCTTGAGTAAGAGTGGATTACCCTTTTCTCTTGACAAGACATAAGCATATTAGAAGTTTGCGAATTACCCACTTTTAAACTGATATTTTTCTTAGTATCTTCTTTGTTATCAAGTCTTTCTTTTCTTTTGTCTTGAGCAGTATCAAACAAATTTTTCTTCTTAGTGTCATTATGGCAGAGCTTGTTGAAATGAAGAGTGCAATGGCACAAATGCAAGAGCAAATGAGGGAGTTAATGCTTGCGATGCATCAACTCAATTCACCAACACAGGAAAGAACAAGAATAGCAGAAAGTGGGAATATAGAGATGATCGGAGCTGCTTCAACATCTACAACAAATCACGTTCCTTCTTCAATTGTACAACACCCTATAAGCACTAGAAAACCAAGAATTACCTTATCCGAGAAATTTGATGGTACGAGATCAAAGTTTCGAGGGTTCATCAATCAAGTACAATTGGCAATTGAACTTCAACCGCAAAGCTATCCAACTCCAGGATCACAAGTCAGGTTTATTGGCACTCTACTTTTTGGTTTTGCATTATCGTGGTTTTCGTCTTTTTTTGAACAACGAAATCCAATATTGGACAATTTGGAAGCTTTTTTGGTGAAGTTTCGATCTATGTATGGTGAACACGATGCAACTAGTGTTGCAACAAATAGGATCCGAATTCTGCGATAAGGAAATCGCTCAGTAATAGTGTATGCTTCACAATTTCGACAACTTGCAATTGACATCAAGTGGGATGATGCTGCACTCATCAATCAATTTTTTTGTGGATTGCAATACAAAGTAAAGAAATTGATGCTCAACTTACTTGATCCTCAAACTTTGAGTAAAGCAATCGATTTTGCAGTAAAATGTGATAATCGACTTTTCGAATTTCGATCCGAGAATCATTCACAGGAACCTCAACGTTATTACTCAATGGCA